CGGGCGGCGGGCGCTGGAGGCCTCCGGGTGGGTCCGAGAGAGGCGTGGACGAAACCTGCTGTCACTTGTTTATCTTCGGGAGGAGTCGCCGTCTGCCCGGGGGAAGAGGGGGGACAGGACGCGTGTGAGACGCGCTGCTTTGAGGACAGCTTTTCTCTAGGGCCGCCTAGGCCCGGCCGTGGCAGTGCCTTGTTTTCCGACGGGTCCTTGGTTCCCTGACAGATGAGCTTTTGTTTCGCAGGACAAAAACTTGTCATAGCTGCATAAGAATTGCTGATGGCAACTTTTTAAAAACCTCATTGTATTTTCTGAAAAGTTTTTCTGTGACCGTCCCTAGGCTTTTACTACGCTTTTTAATTGTCTTAAATATGGTGATAACAAAGAGTTGATTTGTGTTCTTGTGGCATATGCAGTTTCTTGAAAACCGGTATCTATGTCAGTTTCTTGGCAGGTTACAAAGAAATTATACGAGAAATTAGTTCTGTGATATCACCAGTTTAGCACTTGCAAGAACTGAGAAACCAGTCCACCTAATAGCGTGAACGTGTGTAAAGTACTTAGCCTGTTGGGGTTTTGGCTTGTTTGTTGTAACCAGCTTCAGACTGGAATTAGAACTAAGATTAACCAATAAAAAATTAGTTATTGTATTAATGGTGGGCAATATTTATATTGTGCTTTCTGTGTGCCAAGTACTGGATTAGGAACTTTGCTTTGGGACAGATCCTAGTATCCCCATTCTGACAACAAGGAAATTAAGGCACAGGGAAGTTTAATGATTTAATTTGTACCGTGCAAGGTGACACAGCTAATATACTTGGAACCCAAGGAGGCTAGTCCCACTCTTTTAACTGTGCTGCTCCACCGCCTCCTTTATATGTGGCTCTTTTTATAAAAAGCTTTTTCGTTTTATGTACTTCAACTTTGGAGATATGTGTGTGAGCCTGCCTTCATGTAACATACATTCATTCACACATCGCTCATTCCAGTCTTCTGCCCTTGTTAACCTTACCTGAGCAAGAAATCCATTGACTATTTTAACATAAATTGAGTTCATAAAGGTCATGTGTGTGTTGTAATGTATCTTTTTGGTTTCTTTGTATCATTTCCTGAGAGTATTAGATGTTAGCATCCTATGTATTACTTTAAAAATAAATAATTATACATTGTTTTCATTTTTAAATGTATTGAGTGCTTACTTGGTACTTGGAATGGTTACACCTGACTAATTGCTCCAGGACTTGAAATAAAGTTCAAAAGCAAGATCACTTCATGAGAAATCAGCAGTTTACACTTATGTATAGCAGAGCTTTTCAATATAATTCATCAGTTACCAAGCTTTTGATGGTCTTTGTGTCCAGCACAGTGGTAGACCCAGTTGTCTATATAAAGGATATGTGCCACAGCAACCAACCTTGGGAAGGTTAATCTACCTTAGGATATGAGATTCACAACAAAAAATATATATATGATACTCTTCATTGGTAGAATGGATGAATGCAGAACCAAACTGAGTAAAGCTCCTGCAAGGAACCAACAATAATACAAGGATTTATGTAGGGCATTGAATAGAAGGGTGAATGGTGAATTTTAGTGAGAAAACTGTGTTCTAAGATTTGGGATTGGGAATGAAAATTATTTTTCTAGAGAACAGTTAAGTCTGGCCTATGTGGAAAGTTATGTTGAGAAAAATAAGGTTATGTGGGATAAGACTGTGAGGAGAGTTGATAAGATACATATATCAGAGAGGTTTAGGTTTGACATATATGTATATGAGCAGAGAGCATGATAGGATTTTGAAAGTTTTACAACTTTTAAGTCAGTGGTTTTCAACTGAGCACAATTTTGCCGCCACCCCCCCTCCCCCCAGGGATATCTGGCAGTGTTACACTGCGGGGGAGGGGGTGCGACTGGCATCTACTGGATACAGGCCAGGAGTACTGATAAAATGTCCAACAATGGAACAGCCCTGCCATAAGAAATAATTACCGTAAATGTCAGTGGTGCAGAGGTTGAGAAACCCCGTTTTAAGTAGGCTGTTTATATGACCAGCCTCTGCTTCATATACTGTATATAGATAAGTATAAACAGTGAATTTTAGGAGAATGAGTAAAAGTGATATTAAAATTGAGAGAATCTGGCTCAGATTCCTCAAGGCGGTTGTTGTTATAGTCCTGGGGAAGGGAGGCTGTAGGAGAAGCATTTCCTGTATCAAAAAAATAAAAATTTCTTATAAAATTCCCCAAGCAGAAAGAACAGCTGTTAGTTGGTTTTTTTTTGAGTTGGAGCCTCACTCGGTCGCCCAGACTGGAGTGCAGTGGCCGCTACCGGCCACCGCAGCCTCGACCTGCTGGGCTCCAGCGATCCTTCCGCCTCAGCCTTCCAAGTAGCCGGAATTACAGGCGCACTCTATCACGCCCGGCTGATTTTTTGATTTATTGTAGAGATGAGGTCTCGCCAAGTTGCCTAGGCAGGTCTCAAATCCATGGGCTCAGGCAATCCACTCACCGCAGCATCCCAAAGCACGAGATTACAGGCTAAGCCACGGAGCCTGGCTGCTGTTAGTATTTTAATGTGATTTCTTTCAAGTCTTTTTTTATGCAGACAACTATTTTCCTTTTTTTTTTTTTTTTTTTT